GTACCAGAATTCAAATCTTATGTAAAACATGTCATCTTTGAAAGATTTACACAGTCTTTCCTATTCCATGTTTTTACTGATATATCCCCTCATTAAACAAAACAGATTATTTAAATGTCAGCCACCAAGTGGCATGGCCACATCAGAGCAGTATTTATTTACTTTTTTTTAAAGAAAGGCATTTTGATTCACTCATCATGATACAAAAAGCCAGCCTCAGATATTTTAAAAAAGAAATCGAAAAGGGATTACTTCAATCTATATCCAGTATGTATGCTAACATAAACCAGCTGGACACCAGGGGCAAGTGTGCTGCCCACAGCCCTATTTTACAGCAAGCAGCAGTCGCAAGGTTGCAAAGAAAGTCTATTTTGCTCTGTAGTTTCTATTCTTAGAGGAAGGCTGGAGAGGAAATCATGAATATAAAGGACTTTAGAGAACAACTGAAGCCTAATGGAGATTCTGCCCTGACAAGCCTGCCAACAAGGATGACTATATATATATATACACACACACACACACACATATATATACACACTTAATCACTCAAGAAAAAGTCTAACTTAAAAGAAAGTCAAGAGCAAAATGACCTTGTTCTCACAAAATAAAAAAAAATTAAAAAAAAAAAAAGAGAGAGAGAGAACCCTCCTCCTCCAAACCGTTCTCATTTTCCCAGGCAATTAGTATTGAAGTCAGAAAGATAAAAGCATATTTCATCTGAATGTAAAATGTAAGAAAATTACTTCTGCCATTTTTAATTCAGCTCTTGGCAAGAAACATCTTACTAAAAAGAGGAGTTTTGCATTGCAATATCAATATCAGAGTGTCGTCCAGATTTGACACATTTCAATACTCCCCCCCAATAAAGTACCAATTTACAAAGCTCTAAACTAAATGCCTGGAGCTGCTCCCTACTGACCAGTTACTCCTCTCTGACAGCACTGCCTCCTAGGTATAAAACAGGACATTCACACTCCAGTTGTTCTATTTTAACGAAGTCTGGTACTTTTCCAAATAAAATACAATCCCAGGGATTTGCAGTGTAAAAGGATTTAAGAGATGTGTTGTTTTATACTTACAGAAAGCCTGTTATTCTAAAGGATCCCAGAGACCTTCGTGAACTTTACATATCATACACTAAATATATCAAAGAAGGGCAAGTGAACCTACTGCACTAGAAACAAATCTACAGAAACAGGAAGAAATACAATACTGCCAAAACTACAAAAAAAAAGAAAGGAAAAACTGTACAAGTCTTTCCTAAATCATGAGATTTATCTTTCCTCACATTTTAGATTAAGAATATTTCACATATTTCAATATTAAATTCAAATTTTAATTCAAAATTAAGTCATTAGAGTGCACTTGGGTCATGTTCTGATCCTTCAGTATTTAGAAGCATTGTTAAATGTTTACAATTCTAGCAAAAATGACTGATGCCAGACACATGAATTTAAAAAGAATATGAAATATTTCAAGTCTCTGATAGATTTGGCAATAATTACTACATGTAGAGAAGAAAATGAGTATGTTTAAAACAGATATTTAACATTAAAGTGGGAACATTTTTATCATTCTCCTTAGCAACCTAATGATCTAACTATTTAAGAACTAGTTGAAGGCTTAAGCCTATCCTTAATATGTACAGCTAATAGGTACAGACAGTTAAAACGGATGCAGGCACTAAGCCCTCCTAAACATAATTGACAAATTTTGCTCTAATTCTCCTTCAACCATAAAACCCAATGGGGTAATAGGCATCGACCTGTAAAACAGAGCAGGTTTTCTGCTCTGGACTCTGCAAGGACTGGACTCCACAGGAGGAAACAGTAGAAAGCACTTAACAAGGGAGATTGATTTGCTATCTCCAAATCTCCAGCAATGGCTTTGACTGGGAAGCCCAGTGCTATAAATGTTTCAGCATGTCCAGGAAAGACTGAACATTTTGAAAAATAAGCTATGAAACTGCATTTGCTTTCATTTAAAACTCTGTTAAAAGAGAATCCCTGTCATGTTTTTTTGCATAACTGTTTCTACGTGTTACAATCTAGTTTCCTTAAATAATCGAAGCATATTAATCAGTTTCTCCTGATTAGGAGGATACCTCTGTTTCCACCGATGAAAACTATCTGCTTAAAGCCAAACAAAAATACTTATTCTCTGACATTTTTAAAAATAATTTTAAAATACCTGATAAAAAAGCATGCCTGCTTATTAAAGCCGCTGTAGAGCACTAACTGTGATTTAAAATGTCTGCACTGTTTCTTGTGATACATGACAGCACAATTCACAACGGCAGCTGTGAGATCAGCATACTTAAACCACCCCAAACAGGCAAATAAAAACAGCTCCACACACATACAAGCACCTGCCCACAATGCCCAAACAACATCAGTTGTTTTTAAGCTAGGAAAAAAACACAGAGGTCTTAGTGAGAGAAGAAAGCATGCGTGTCCCAAGACAAGAACCTTTTTCTCTCTACAGATTGTTACAGCTCTCATTTTGAAAAAACTTTGTGTTCTAAAGTCTCCTTGATTTCCCAAAATCTCTGCCCTTAAGACATGGTGTGCATTCACATGGGAGGAAGGAATAACATAGAGCCCTGCGGCTATGACTTTCTAATCAATAGGATTCTTGACGGGAATATAAATCTAACTTTCACACTGAACAGCTAGAGTAGAAATTTTCATGGAAATCCTTATTTTAGAAATCACAGGGTTATAGGTTTGCTGCTGAGAATGCACAACAGCCTATCCACTGAGTGGCAAAAATAATTTTTATCCAGAGCTATGGAGGGGAGTATTTGTTTGAAACAAGATCTATATGATTTATGCTGAATATAACATGTAGAATATGTCACTAAAGCATACAGCTGATTCAAAATAACCCTTCTATCTTCTAGATAACAATTATGTATGAACTTTGACAAGACATTATGATACATTTAAAATAGGTTTTGAATGCAAGGATTTTTTTTAACAGAGAAAATAGTCTGGTATTTTTTAAACATAATACAAATTTCAGCAAATGAATGTTCTTCAAAAAACATTTACAAATTAAATGGCAGTAAGACTTGGATTCAGTAACTCAGCAGTGAGACATTCCTCACCTCCTGATATTCTAAGGAAAATAATTTAAACAACATTTGACTGAAATGGATCACTCCCAAACTAAGCCTCAAATTACAATGAGCACAGAGCACAATGACAAATCCAAGGCACAATGTTTGGAGATACGTATTAAAATTCCAAACAGCTTCTCTACAAACTTCTGTAGTTATCTACTTTCCTCAGGAAATCTAGTAGTCATAGCAGAAATACTAAAATTTATTCTAGATAGTGTCCCAATAAAGTCAGAGTGTCTATAACTAGATCACTACAACTGGTCGTTTTCTAGTTGCTTTATCATAAACCAGAGAGTGTGCATACACATAATTATTTATTTATTTAGGAAAGTGGATTCCAAATTAAAACCATGCAGTTACAAAATGACTCATAGTAGAGGGTTCATTTTCATGCAAATATTTGTGTCTATGAACACAACAGATGCGATGCTTACAATGTGAAATGTGACCATGGCCAAAAATGCTTTGAATGAGTTGATTTCATCCAAAAGAAAACATTTGGTATATCAAATGCTTGAACACCACAGCTTGGTCTACATAAAAATCTAGAAAGAAGAATGTGTCACATCAGACAAAATTAGGGACTTTCTGTCTGTAACGTCAGTGTTACGTTTATTCTGGAAAAGTCAAAATTAAAATTTCAATTTTTCCTTTTTGTGAAAGTATCTTTTGACTAACACAGGAAAATCCACCATCAGTATTAACCTTTTCTCTTCCAGTTTATTGAATGTGATAAAAGACTCCCTTGTGGCAGACAAACATAGGACAGCAAACTGGTGAGACTGAGCGCATCTGGGTGTATGCAACAAAACTTCAACTCAGACTGGAGAAAACAAAATAGATACAAGAAGAAGGAAATGCAATAGGAAAATAAGCATGGGAAATATAGGCAAGAGAAAAAGTCCTAAAAAGTATCTAAGTGCTGAATAATAATTGAGAGAGGATTGGAATTCCGAGCTCCCCATCCTTTAATTCTTATGGTGGGCAACAGATGAGAACATTTTTAAATGTTCTTTGTAAACAGGCAATATTGAGTTAATATATACCCCTAATACCAACAGGTGGTAACCAAACCACTCATTAACTTCTAGAACTGGTTAAGTGTTTGGGCACTAAAAGAAGGAAAACAACTTATCAGCAAAGACTTAATTTTTAACTCAAAAATAATCTCACTATTCAGCTTTTGTCATGACAAAAAACTCATCCTTTATTGCTAGTCTTTGCTTCCTGTCTCATCCTGAGAGTCAGCACTTAGCTAGGCAGAGATGCTATTGAAACAGCATACCTGTCACCACAGCTTCTGCATGTGAAGATGAGAAACAACACACACACTGACACAGCACCAGATATTTTTGTTGCTTGTCTCTACTTATCAAGCACGGCCTTAAGGGTAGGTTTCAAGCTACTTCATTAAGCACATCAATGTTCTCCTATTAATGATGAATCTGCAGTCACCTACAGTCAAAGGACATGCCTTGTGGCAGACTAATCTAAACTTTTGGCATTTTCCTGCTGGACAGCAATAATATTAAGGCCTTTTCTCCAGTTTAAAAGAGCTGATAGTGCTAAGACAATTTGGTCTGGTTGCTATTTAAAACATAAATATGTAAAATATAATTATATATAAAATATAAATATATAAAATTGAAAGGAACAAGAATTTATCAGAGAATGTGGTGTGCAGGAGGGCATGAATAAAAAGGAACATCCTTTCCTAATGTTCCTGAGAAATGTAGAAGACACCAAATTCGGCAGTGAAACGTCACACAGTTCATCCATGAAAGACAATAAATAAATAAATAAACAGTCAAAGAAAGGATTGTCCACTTATCCACTAGGCATAAAATAATGTCCATATACACTTAATTGTACTCACAGTTGACACTGATCTCCTTTGATTCCTTTAGTTGTACAGAAACATTTTCCTGTTTGCATGTGACAAATATTTGCATGACCACTGCACGTGCAAGCTATAAAATCAAAAGGAAAAGACAAGATTTATTCACTCATATTACAGTTTATAACAGAAGGAATTTTCATAAATTTTATTTCTGTATCCTAAATGTATCACATTCATCTGTGTTTAAAAAAATATATTATTATAATATATGCAACTTATTTTCTTTAAAGTTATATGGTGTTAAGACCAATATAGTAGAGAGAGGAGAATAAAGGAGTGGAGAAAGTCCTGAACTTTGTTTCCTTCTAAATGAAAACGTTAGTTCTGATAGCTCAGCCGTTATTTTTTCTTCTTTTACAAGATAAAGAGCAATTTTTAGTGTCACTGTTCAAACTCCTAGGAATTTAAATTTTCCTGGATAACAACTTCAAAAAAGACACCTTGTCATAATCAGTTTTACTTAAATATTCTACTCCTGGAAAAAAAATGTTCAATAATTCTAAATACAGACTTGAAAGTATATTTCTGTCTGTGATGAAAAAATAGACTCTTACAAAACTGTGGACAAGTATGTGGGGAGTAATTCAAATAAAACACATATAAAGCTGTGCCTGTTCTTCCTGAAGTAAATATGAGAGCATGATACCACACCAAATGCAATGGCAGAAGCAGCATGATATTACTGCATTCTGTGGAAAAAATGTTGGATATCATTATTTCTGTGCATCTCTGCAGGTTTTCTCCACTGATCTGTTTTTGAAAAATTCAAAAGAAATTACAAACTTTGAATATGAACTACACTCTCTAATCAATAAGCTGCAACATAAAGCTACACTTGATTTCAAGGTAATTATTGACTCCAATAGCTACAGAATCTCAGATGACAGCACCACTGATAATAATCATATTGAGCCATTAAATAAATCCTTGCCCGCAATTCTTAGTGTTTATATTGAAAATGTCACGCGGGATAATTGCTTAACTGAAATTCTATGCTCCTGTTATCTTTTTATCAGGAATCAATGCTTTAAACCACTGAAACTCCTAACTCACAAAAGTCCTTAGATATATATCGCATAAAAACCAATTGCATTGATTGGTTGAGACAAAAATCTTACAAGGTACCTACATAACCACACTTTAAGACACAAACACTAAAGTAGTCCATTCAGCAAAGTCAAGCTATACAACCCCGTGCTGTACTCTTTGTGATTACTAAATAATATAAAGGTGGAACTCAGAATCAATAGACGAAAACTCACATTTCAATAGTTTCTGGGGTCTCTGGGCTTCAGTAATGGAAACAGTACTAGGACAGAGTCAGGGTGCTGACACCCATTAAAATGGATGACAAAAATCAAAGCTTGATCAGACGTTTAATGTTTATCTCTGATCTGTGCATCGCTTGGAACAAAAGATTTACATTCTTTCTCTGGTACTTCAATATTTTCCCTCTCTTGTTTCCATATTTCCTTGATTTTTTTTCCCTATACTTTGCTTTACACCCTCTTTCTAAAAACTGTCAGTGAACACTTGTTTCTTGTTTGATGGTACTAAAATAACAGTTAATAACAGTTAAAAATAAAATAGTGGAAATACCTAAGGCAGCATCTTTCAAAGGCTAATGGTATTAGAAATATGCTAAATCTTATAATATATTTTAAATCTACATCTAAACATGCTCTTTATTCTCAGTAAAGTCAGTAAAAGTCAGTAAAAGAAATTCCATTTGCATTTGACATTTTTTGTGGTCCCTGCCTTTCTCCACCTCATGCATTTGTTTTCGAGGAACGACATTTAGGTGCCAGCAGCAGCAGCTAAAGATTGTATCAATTAACTTTTTTCTCCTTCCCAGAAAGGGCAGTTATCTCTAATATTAGTGTGAAGAAATATTTAGCAGTACTTTTCTTTGTAAGAACACCCAAAAATAAAGCGAAGAAAATAAGAGTTGCTGTTAAAATGAAAGCTTTACTTAATACTGTGCATCTTTTGCCTTGCTGTGTATCTCAAGTGACACTGAGGTGACAGCAATGCATCTACTGTCATGACTATGCTTCAAATCAGATGCCTAATTCTTAACATAAATGATTTGATTTGGGAGCACAGAGACACTGGCAGTGGCTTAACATGAAGAGGCTGAAACACACCTATATACACCAATCTGCTGAGAGAAGAGAATTTAAAGAGAAAAAATAACCAGGAGCAGTGTTTATGCTTTTGGAAGAAAAAGAAGTAAACTCTCTGCAGCCTTTGCAAGAGAAAATGCAAATCCAAAACTACCTTTATCTTAGAAATTATTGAGTCCAAGTGAGTTGTTCTGATGATGCTAACAAGGGCCCCTGTTTCCCAATCCAGATGAGCTAAAAGGCTTTTTTCCAAATATCAGTAGTGGTATAAACATGGTGTCATGGAAACCAATGGAAAAAATGTAATTGTTTTCATGGGGATGAACTAGTACTAAATCTCTAAAACATGCATACTTATTAATGCATCAGGGAAAAGCTTTCTAAACCTGAAATTTTTCTTTATTAAAAATAATCTTTAAAAATGTTCAAGATCTAGAAGCAAGTTTCTCTTGGCTGTTGACTGTTGCTTTCCTGACTGTTCCAGAAGAGATGTCACTATGTAAAAGGCTATAACAGATTTAAACTCTACTGTTTTAAGTACATATTCCAACAAATCATACTCAAATACTTTCAGAAGGTTGTAATGATACTAATCCTCTCTCAAATCTTCCTCAGCATTCATCAATGTAGAGACTAATGTGAAATCTTGATTTAACTTCATAATAATTTATATGCAGTCACATTCTATAAATGTTATTAAATTCTGATCACGTTTTCTACTATCTCCTCATTTAACTGTCGTCATATTCAGTATTCAAAACTCACAGATGAATCTCTGCAAACCAAATGATTAATATGAAGTGTACGGATTTTTTTATCCTTTAAAAAATGGATCTACATCCCACAACACTACCAATTTTTTAACAGTAAGTTAATTCCAGGCAATGTGCTTTCAATGATATTATCACACCAGACAGGAGGGACTGATAGTGTATCATGTCTTCTTTCTCTCCTTGAGTTAAAAAGTACATCTGTCATTCTCTGTTTCACAGTCTACAGAGGGCTGAGAGTTTTTAAACTGTAAGACCAAGTTTAAGACTCAAAATAAATGTCAGCTTCATCCGCCGGATTTCAGAACCTCATATTAGGGAAGAATTAGTCTTTTACCTTCCAAAAAAATTGCAGCTCATGAAACTGAAAAAAAAACATTATCAATATGTGTATTTTTCTCAAAGAGACAAGAAGAGATGGGAATTAAGATACTCACAGTTTTACATATGATAGAGATACAGAATATAGAATATAGACAAAGATATATGTTGATTTGAAAGATACTGTACAATTCTGATGGAGATTTTATTTCATGTGGCAAATCCCTACACAAATACGTGTATGTTCTCTAAATCAAAATGCAAACTTGACATTTGCATATTTTAAAAAATTGTCTCAGCTAGAAAAATTCTTTTTGCAAGTACAACTGGAACCTTTAGATGCAGTATTTTAGAGCTACTTACTCAATCCCCATATCACATCAAGAGAAAAGAAAAATATGATTCTTAAGCAAACAAAATTGTATAAACTGTCTCCAGGCTGAGTGTCCATAAGTTCTGATCACCATATACTCTAGGTACAGGATACTGCCTTAGAAATGCAATTCTCTGTAGATATGCTGGAAAGGATTTCCCAGATTGACTGTTAAGACTTAATATTGCCCTTGTCAATTATTTGTCAACATTATTTGGCTTCTGTCACAAATCTCCCAGTCATCCTCCTCTTATCTTGGTATGATTTGTATCACACAGCGGTTTTAAAGTTCATGAACTCAATTCCATCGGAATGAAACCAAAACAGAAGATGAAGTTCACCTCCTGGACTCCAACCACACATTCTCTGGTATCCTACTTCAGCCAGTTCCAAGTGCATAAAACACTTAGTTTGAAGGTTAGGTACCTTTACTAACTGCCAAAAATCCATTCTTACTGCACTGCTGCATGCAGATGTGTACTTCGTGGTGCTTGTTTAGACAGAAACGATGAAGTTAACCCAATTTCATGTTTTTTTGTATGTAAGACTAACAGATTACTATTGGGTTTGTCACTAGAAACCTTGTCGTACTTTCTCTCCAACTGCAGACATAAATTACTTTTTTTAAAAGAAGTATGCATCAAATGTTATGGATATTATTATGATATGAGCATATGTGATATGCCCTGATAGTAAAAACTGCATTTCTATCGATCTTAGATGTGTGTTATTCATATGCATTTCTGTTTAGTTATTTTAAATACTTAGCAACCATGCAAACATTTCAGAAATCATTAAATTTTAAACAAATGTAAAAAAGTAAACCTTATTATAACAAACCTGATTATAAAATATGTATGGTCTATTTACAATCACAGTATGTTTACCTACTAATTAGAAGCACAATATTAGAGCTTTAAAAATCAAAAACAGAATATCAGAGCATTAAAAAAAAAAAAAAAAAAAAAACACCCACCCACCACCTTAAGACACATACACATGCACTCTGCAAACACCCTGGCAATTTTTATTCTATTGAGGCAAATAGCAGTTTCCACTATTGTCTTGTACAACATGCAGATTTTAATTGGAGCAGAAAGATTATATGAAAACAATATAATACAGTAAAGTAAATCCATGCTGCAAATTACAGCCCTATAAAATTTATTAAATAATAAATCCACAGCATGATTGTTTCTGAGTTGCTAGCTCAGCAAGTAAATGTTCTTGCTGATGCTGACAGCAAAAGAACACCCATCACCATTTCCATGAAGTATGCATTTTAGACAATTGAATTTAAAAACATTTATTGTCCAACCCCCAGCTCCAACATATAGCTGCAAGAAGGAATTTTCTTTCAAATGGAGCTCACTACAAATTATACTTGAACTTGTTTGTTTACTGTGGAGATTATTAAACCAGTAGCCACATGTGGATAAATCCTTTAATGTACCCTGCAGATGTTTTTTAAAGAAAGGGT